TCGATTTTGTTGACCTTTTCAAAGAACCAACTCCTAGTTTTGTTGATATATTTGTCTCTTTGTGACTGTGATTTTTTTACTCAGCATAATGCCTTCCAGGGTCACCCATTTTGAATAATATTGCAAGAGATCCTTGTTTTTCAAAGCAGCATAGTATTCCATTGTGTGAATATGCCACAGCTTCTCTATCCATTCGTTTGTTGGTGGGTACTTAGATTGTTTTCAACTCCTTGCTATTGTGAATAAAGCCGCAGTAAACATGGGTGTGCATATATCTGCTTGGATGTCATTTATGGTCTTTATAGGGTATATTCCCAGTAAAGGAATTGTTGGGTCAAATGGTATCTCTATTTGCAACTTTTTGAGAAAGCGCCAAACTGCTTTCCACAGTGGTTGCACCATTTTACACTCCCACTAACAGTGAATAAGGGTTCCAGTCTCTCCACAACCTCGCCAGCATTTTTTGTTAGCTGTTCTGTTAAATTGCTATTCTTACTGGGGTGCGATGATATCTCATAGTTGTCTTGATTTGCATCTCTCTTAGGGCTAGGGATTTTGAACATTTCTTCATATGCTTGTTGGCCATCTGAATGTCTTCTTTGGTGAAGTGTGTGTTCATATCCTGTGCCCATTTTTCTATTGGAGTATTTACCCTTATCTTGTCAAGTATTTTATAAATTCTAGATATAAGTCCCTTATCTGACAGCAGATTGATTTTTCATTCAACAGTTCACACATTTTGTCCTATAACATTTACTATAGTGCCTACAGTGTACTTCCTCTCCATAATTCTGATCAACACTAATCACTCTGCACTTTTTAGTGCCCTCTCTTTCTTTAGTGATAAGTGTGACTTAAAATGTGTCTGTTACATGCATCATAATTTTTACTCCCTTCTTCCTTCCCAACACTCATCATTATTTCTTAGAAGTAAACTTTTCTTTATAATGCTAGTCTTACACAGTATTTATCCTTTTGTGACTGACTTATTTCAGTATAATGCACTCTAGAGTCATCCATATTATGCAGTGTTTCATTAATTCTTTTTTGCTATTAGTGTTGCATAGTAACTTCATCTTGTAACAGTATAATAGTTTCATTATTAACTTTGGACATCTCTAATGACAGTAGATTGTTGTTGTGTGCTGTTGCACTGGAACCTACCCATAGCTGATCCTGTAACCTTTTCAGAGGCAGTAAATTGTTTGGCAGAAGATTGAACCCTTGAGATTGCTTTGTGGCTTCTTACCACACTCTCCTTGAGAGTGTATATGATGACTCAGTTACCAGTACATTTAGAACAGTTAGAACAGCTTGCCCATTGCTATGACTTCCTTCTTTTTGTCTTCCAATCTGCTGTTTTCATTTATGTAAAGAATATGATTAGCACTTGAGATTTGTTCTTTCTGTGATTACAACAGGAAGAAATATATTCATTTGGTATTATATTTTTGGGTAACTTGGAATTTAGTATTTGCTCAGCAGTATAGAGGTGTGCATTATTTTCTTACATATGTCATCTAGTCTTTAATTATTATTGTAGAATGAGTATGAGGATCCAAGGTGGGAGGATAGCGGAAATAGAGGGGGTGGGGTATTGTGTTAATCATAGGGCTGCACAATTCGATGTGTGGGTGGGTTAAAAGAAATAGGACTTATCTTTTATGAAAAATAGCATACTCAAACTTTGGAAGTAAATCAGAATAATATGAAAAAAATTAAAAATATACTCTTTATTTTCTCAATTATTTATTGACATGTCTTACTGTCTCACATAAAGTAACAGTTAAAACTTGATTAAATTATTTAAAAATGTGAGTTGCTTGCTGACATCATCTTTCTTACCATTTAAACTGACAGTACTGCTCTTAAGCACTTTGGAGACGTACATGACAGCTGACTTTCCCAGTGCAGTAAATAACATTAAATATTTACAGAACTCTTGAGTTTAAGGTAACACAAACACCTCTGATAAATTAACTGTAAAGAAAAAGCATATAATATTTCAATATAGAAATAATGAAAAAACATTTTCTGATTGGAAATGGGTAGCTAACCAGTATTTAGGACAGAATTCCTTGAGGGCAAGTTCTCCTAGGATATATTCCCCAATGTTGAACATGACACAGGGTTTCAGGCTTTGATTCCTGCTTTTTAGAGGCCAGTGTTTTGAATTACCAGCAGCTCTGAGGGAGAAAAATGAACAGCCTCCTTCCGTGTGATTTATTACTTCTCAAAACCTGTTAGAGGATCTGCTGTGAATTTGTTCAAATGTGACAGTAACAGAAATAGCCATATGCTACAACATATATGTTAGATTAGGTTAGTGGACTTAAAGAAGAAATCAGAGAGAATGGGAGAAAGCTTAATGCGGCTTTATTAAAGGGGGGAAAAGGGAGCTCCCGGGTGAGTTCCTCATCCTGGAGAGGCAGAATGGGAAGTCAGACTGTGAACTTACTGGGGAGGATTTTTATAAACAGAGTCTTTAGGGAGGGACATTCCATTCCGATTTATGAGCCACCTGCTAGCTCAGCCAGAGAAGCAGGGCCATTTGCCCTTCTTATCAGCAGCGAGCAAGGCCATTTGAGTTCTGAATTCTTCATTCTTCTCTTTGGCCCTCTTTGCCCAGACTAACAATATATACATAACTTCCTTTCCCATTGTCAGTGTAACAAGATGACATTTTTATACTTCTAAAAAATGAGCGATAGTTTATGATTGTGCTTTTTAAAAATCTTTTAATGTAATTTTTATAAATAGAATGATAAAAAATGAAAAATTTGAAATTATAGTTATGATGTCTCATTTTCTGTTTTCAGATGATCATAGTCGGGTTAAGCTGCAGAATACTGAAAATGATTATATTAATGCCAGTTTAGTGGACATAGAAGAGGCTCAGAGGAGTTACATCTTAACACAGGCAAGTGATACGATTAAACAGGTGCCTGAAAATGGAATGTTTGTGGTTTTTCAGCTTTAAAACAGAGCTAATTATATTATAATTTCTTTGGGAATAAAAAGTTGTTTTTTCCTGCTTGCATAGAAATTTTTATACTTGATTAAAAGTAAAGTTTTTTTTTTTAAAGTAATTTTTAATGTTAAACATTTTAAAAGAAAAATTTCATGTTATGTCAGATGAATTCTTGTCAGGGAAATTGTCTTTATTGCTTTATCTTTGATATAAAGATTTCTGTTTAATTTTTTACTTTTCATATTTTCCCCCCTTTTCTTCTAACAACCTGTATGCCAATGTTGTTGTTGTTATGTGTTGTTGAGTTGCCTGTGATCCATGGTCACCTTGTGTACAGCAGCTCTGAACCTGCCCTGTCCTGAACCAGTCTCACTAATTCCAACACACGAACCCCCATTGCCCCAGTTACTGTATCAGTCCATCTCATCTGGGATCATCTTCTCCTGCCCTTTCCCTCCACCCTTCCAAGCATGATGTCCTTCTCCAAGGACTGGTCTCCTGGCCACGTGCCCAAAGTATGTGAGATGGAGCTTCAGAATCCTAGCCTCCAAGGAGAAATTTGGTTTCACCCTATCTAAGACAGACCTGTTTGTTTTCTTGGCAGTCCTTGGTATATATTCAAGACTCTTCGCCAGCATCACAATACAAAGGTATTGATTCTTCTTTTGTCATCCTTAGTCATATACAGCTCTCTGATGCACACAAGTAATTGCAAAGATCATGACCTGGATTAGGTGCTTAGTCTCAAGACTGACATTGTTGCTTTTCATCACTCTGGAGTAGACTTTCGTTGTGCAATTTCTCCCTGACAACAGTTTTTCCCAGTACAATTCGTCTGTTGATTTCTTAACTGCTAGTATTAAGAGTGTTGATTGTGAAGCTTAGCAAGCTGTAATTGTTAACAATCTCAGTCTCATCTCCATCTATATGGTGCTGGCCCAGTGGTGAGAATCTTTGTCTCCTTGATGTTGAACTTCAGTCCAGTTTGAAAACTATAGTCCTTGACCTTCTGCAGCAAGTGCTTCAGGACCGCCTCAGTTTCATCAAGCAAGGTTGTGTCATCTGTATAATGTTGGGTATTGATGTGTCTTCCTCCAATCCTGATGTTACATTCTTCTTCATATAGCCCAGCTTCCCAAATGATCTGTTCTCCATATAGATTGAAAAGGTGAAGACAGGATGTATCCCTGAAACACACCTTTCCTGATTTTGAACCATGTAGTGTTTCCTTGCTCTGTTCTGAGGACTGTTTCCTGCTCCAAGTATAGGTTTTGCTAAGCACAATCAAGTGTTCTGGGATTCTCATTTTCCTCAAGGTAAACCACCACTTGTTGTGATCCATACAGTTAAATGCTTTTCTATCGTCAGTGAAATGCAGATAGAATTCCTCTGGTACTCTGCTTTCTGCCAAATTCCATCTGACCTTGTCAATAATGTCTCTAGTGCCATGACTTCTCCTAAACCCAGCTTGCATTTTTGGTAGTTCTCTGTCAATACTTGAAACCTCTTATCCACTCTAGTGTGTATTTTCAGAGAATACAGACATGCCCATGATAATGTGTGTTTTTATCTCCTAATTATTATCATAGTGAAATACTCATATATGAGTTGTACTCTTTTTTTTTTTTTATTTTGAGGGAAAAAAGAATTTTAAATTATGCGCATCAACTATTTCCCCCTCCCCCCAGTCAAATATCTGTAGTCTCTCCAAATTATCCTCCAGAGGGTTTCCAAGGCTTTAAATCAGAACAGGACACTGTCCATTTTTCTCCCAAGGAACAAATGGTGAATTTTAACTGCCAGAAATGCAGAAGCAGCCCTTTGGCTAGCAACAGAACTTTTTAGAGACTCTGTACCAGAACTACTCCTAAATAGGTAAGAGAGACTCAGGGAATTAGACTCCTCACCCAGAGGTCACACTTCTGGTATTTTGAATCCACTAGCAGCTCCCAAGGGAGGAAGCTGGGAAGTCTTCTCCTGTGCAGTTTACAGCCTTGGAAATCCAATAGAGGGTCAGCTACACATTCGTTCCAACTTGACTTTACTGAATAGAGAGTGAGAATTAACAGTACTATCATGTCCCTGTTGAAAATTTTTAAATATTCAAGGAATAAGTTATATGGCTGTAAGATATTTATTTTTTTTTAATCTTAAATTACATTAAACAAACCTATTGCAGTAATTTTCTGTCAGACTGGGAAATGGAAATATTTTCATTTGAAACAAAACAGGTTAAAAAAAAAGTAAAATCAAAAAGAAAAAAATATCTGCAGGAAAAGCTAGAAAAGGACAAACAGTTCAAAGGAAAAAAATAAAGGTAGACACACTGCAAATGTGAACAGATACTCAATTTTCCAGTAACTAGTAGTGATTTGAGAGTTTAAAAATACCCTTTCTTACTAAGATGGCACTGAAAGCGAAGAAAGAAGCCCCTGCCCCTCCCAAAACTGAAGCCAAAGCAAAGGCGTTAGAGACCAAGAAGGCAGTTCTAAAGGGCATCCACAGCCAAAAAAAAAAAAAAAAAAGAATATCTGCACATTGCCCACCTTCCGGCACCCTAAAATGCTGAGACTCCGAATGCAGCCCAAATACCCCTGGAAGACCTTGACTAGTATGCCATTATCAAATTTCCCCTGACCACTGAGTCAGTAATGAAAAAGATAGAAGATAATAGCACACTGTGTTCATTGTGGATGTCAAGGCCAACAAGCACCAAATTTAACAAGCTGTAAAGAAGCTCTATGACATTGATGTGACTAAGGTCAGCACTTTGATTAGGCCTGCTGGAGAGATGGCAGCCTGTGTTTGACTTGCTCCTGACTATGATGCTTTGGATGTTGCTAACAAAATTAGAATCATCTAAATTGAGTTCAGCTGGCTAATTCTAAATACAAACTTTTCGCACCAAAAAAAAAAAGTTTAAAAACATACCATGTTTAATTACTCTGAAATGCTTGCTGCAGAAGATCAAAGATTGATTATATCTCAGCATCAGATGATTTCATTTGCTTGAATCCACAGTCAACACCTTTGATATCAGCAGTCAAGAAATCAGAAGATAATCTTTACTGGGAAAATGTTGTAAAGGACCTCTTCAGTATGTCAAGTTAAAGTCTAGGTGCACCTGATTCTAATCATGGTCTTTCATTTCTTTCTATACATCTGAAAGTTGTAAAGTAAATAAGGATGATAGAAATGAATCAACTCATTAGAATTGGGTTGAAGAAGAATGCTGAATATACCATGGACTGCAGAAAGAACCAATATCTTGGAGAAAGAGCACCTAGGGTGCCACTTTGGTGGCAGGGGTGGTGAAATAATTTTTTGCATAATTGGTCATGCTGCTTAGGAAGGGCCAATCTTTGGAGAGAGATAATATATTTGGAAAGTGATATCAGATCAGTGAAGGAGCAGAAGACCTTCAACAGTATGGGTTGATACAGTGACTGGGCAGTGAGCTCAAGTATAAAGGAAATGGCACAGTATAATACAGAATTCAGATTTTTTTTGTTTTGTTCACAGAGTGACTCTTATAGTTGACTGAATGGAACATGTGAACAACATTAATTGATCTTAGAGAAATTAATGTAAGAGAGGGTATTTACTAGAACCTTAATTAAACAACATAAAAAGGAATCCAAGCCCACTGTCATTGAGATGTTTGAATCCAAACCTACAAACATCCAGGAGCTCTGTAGAACAGAGTAAAACATTTCCACCAGTTTGCTGTACTGTAAATCTTTATGGAAGCAGATTGTGGCATCTTTCTCCAGTGAAGTACCTCATAAATTTGAACCACCAACCTTTGGCTAGCAATTCACAGCTCTCCCTGCAATGGCACCACCACTCATTTTAATGATAGAGGCCTAATATAATGCATAACCTTACAAAGGAGTCCTGAAGATGATGCTGGTGAACACAGAAAACCCTAAAGACTCAACAAAAAAACTGTTAGTAGGCCAGTTTGGTAGAGTGGCAGGATATAAGATCAATATCCAAAATTTAATAGGATTCCTCTACAGCAACAAAGAGAACTCAGAGAACAAAACCAAGAAAACGGTACTATTTACAATAGCCAACCACAAATTTGATACTCAGGAGTAAACCTAACTGGAGATACAAAAGCTCTGTACAAAGAAAACTGCAGAGTATTTCTGTGAGACACAATAAAAGACCTAAAGAAATGGGAAAATGTACTCTGTTCACTCAGTATTGTGAAAGTGACAGTCCTAACAAAAGCAATCTACGTGTTCAATGCCATCTCAATCCAGATACGAAACTCATTTTTTCAAGGAGATTGAAAGGGAAATTACCAAATTTATTTGGAAAGGCAAGAGACTCTGTATAAGAAAACACTTCTGAGAAATAAAAAGAGGTGGGAGGCATAGCACTCTCTGACCTCAAAACCTGCTACACAACAGTAGTAACCAAAATGGCATGGTACTGGTACAGTGACAGGCACATAGACCAAAGGATCTGAAATGAGAACCCAGAAATGGGTATGGTCAACTTAATATTCAACAAGGAAATAAAGCCTATTAAATGAGGAAATTACAATCTCTTTAACAAATGATGCTAGGAAAACTGGACTTCCACCTGCAGAAAGCTGAAACAGGATCCACATCTCACACCATACACAAAAATCAGCTCAAGGTGAATCAGACACCTGGGAGTAAAGCAAAAAACCATAAAGTTCATAAGAGGCAAACTGAGTTCAAGCTTAGAAGCACTAGTCCAAGGTATAAAGAGACTGCCAAGTACAGCCAGAAAGGCACAATCTGAAGAACATAAAGTTGATGAATGGGACCTTCTAAAGATTAAAACCTTTTTCCAACAGGGTGAAAAGAAAACCTATTTACTAGGAACAGACAATTGGTAATATCATCTCAGACAAGGGTCTCATAACGAATATTTACAGAATACTCCTGGGCCTCCACAAGAAAAAGACT